TTTACATATACTATACATTGATTCTGCTCTTTCACAACTGTATTTATCGCCATTGCCAATGTAAACATTTTCGTAACATGCAAAGATATGTTTCTTCTGCATTATTGATTTTTCTCATGCTTCAGACATATTTATCTCTTTGTTAATGAAAATATATCTAGGAAATAGTAAGATTGATTTATGGAGAATGGTATGAGGCGGAAGAGAGGTGAGAACCAAGCTGGGGAGAATTATCCTTGGCCATGGCTGAAGGAGGCGTTGTGGGACTTCCTGGAGGTGCATGTTTAATTACGGAAAAATATTCTCAGAGGCAAAGGACACTTACAAAGCTCTTTTGTAAGACAGTCTGGTGACTCATAGGTGCCAGCTATACTTTCAGCATGGGGAGAATCTAAAAATCAGCAGTTCAGAGCAGGAGATACAGATATGCAGTTCCTGTTGATCCTCAACCCAGTTTTGGTAGAACACAGTTGAGTAGAAGATACTGGTTCAAAAGTAAGGTTGGAGGAGAAGCTAGGCTTTGTCATGCGCAAAATGTTATCAAAAGATGATGAAGGGCAACAAGCAGAGGTGTGGGGCTAAGCTTCAAGATGTACATGCTTGCACTGTGATACTTCATCAGCCAATTTAGACTCCGGTGGGCAGCTTGGGGATGATGCTTTTGAAGACATTCTTTCTGAGCATTTTCTTGCTTAGGTGCTCACTCCTTTCCCAGGGAGGCCTCTGCTAGGTTGTTACTATCACAGCCTGTACAACAAGGGTCTAGGTTGCCTGCCAGAGGAATTTTGGTGTCTTTATGCTCACCCTGAGTTTAGGCTTCCCCAAGTCATCCCTATAGGTATCCTGGGTGCCTGAAGAGTGTGTTGTTGACAAGGCAACAGATTGGGGACTGATTGAGAAGCATTTGCCTGTACCTTGGCAGCAAGATGGAAATGTTGAGATGGGCCATAGTATTCTTACTGAAGAGACAGAAAAGCAGATGGGGAGATAGGCTCCAATCACGTGAGCCTGGAAGGTTACACATGCCATCTACCCATGCTTGCGTCCATCCAGATGTGATGTGAACACTCTGCCCCATTATTAACCATGACTCCTTAACATTGGCCCAATGCTTCAACTGTTTGAATTACTGATAATCAGTCTAGCAGAAGAACTAGCATTTCTTAAACATTGACTATGTGCCAGGTATATGTCTGTGATTGTTAATCTTCACCAACCCTGTGGGGGTAGGCATGAGTTATGAAAACTAAAACCTCAGACATTAAATGCCTTGCCTCAGTCAGTGGTTCTGGAACTTGTTGCATCAGAATCACCCGGAGGGCTGTGAAAACACAGACTGCTCAGTAGCACCCCCAGAGTTTCTGATTCAGTATATCTGGAGAAAGACCCAAGAATTTGCATTTCCCATAAGGCCCAAGTGCTACTGATGCAGCAATTCTGAGAACCACAATTTGAGAGTCCATGTCAAATGCTAAGGCATTCAGAGGCAGAATCCACACCCAGGTCTGCCAGATTCCGTGAGCTATGTATATTTAGCTGGTATTAATTGCCCCCTGGTGTGTGTTTCAAATGAGTCACTTTTTTTTATTCACACATCAGTACCTTCTCAGGTAATAACTTCTCTTTCTGGAATGTCCTACTCCTTGGTTCTCCATCTGGCTGCCTCTGCCTATCCTTCATGACTCAGCTTAATGTTTCCCTTTCTTAAAAGCCTTTCCTTAGTTCTCACCCACAGGTTAACTACCACTCCTCTGTTTCCCACCCCCCAGACAGACCTGCATTCTCTCCCTCTGACATTGTTTAGTCACTGTGTGTCTGCTTCTCTGACCATTTACCCCCCTCCCACTGTGAACTCCCTGAAGATGCCTACCATGCGTTCCTTGCTGTCTGCACCACTGCATTTACCTAGTAGACATTCAGGAACTTTGGTGAAATAACTGGTTGAATGACATCGGCAAGTTGCCTCATGCATGTGAGACCCCACCTGCGATGGGCAGGTCTCCTTCATCTGACTATGGTGGGTGTGTCTGGACACTTTCTAGCGGTTGTTGCCAAAGAGACTGACTTCAGGAAAGTGCTAAATTAAGTATGCTGTGAGTACAGCCTCCTCCTGGTGAAGCTTCCCTCGCTTGCTTGGATGTGTGTCCTATCTGACTTCAACATCTGTCTTTTGCTAACTGCCAGTGTTGGCTTGGCAGGCTGGATGTCTGGCTGTCCCTGTTCTCCTTTATTCCTCCCTGTGCCTCTCTTCCAAATCTATACACTCTGATGAGATGGATGATTGCCCCAGGGAGATTATAGCTTTGGTGTATGAGTAGGTGACCCTCATGTTTAAGCCCCCAGATAGGCTTCTGTAAGTTTATTCACCCTGAAATAAGATGATAGGGCCTACTGTGTGCTGAGCATGTTAGGGAGTGTGGAAGCTTTTGTTGAATGAGGGAGCGTGCATCTAGATGAGAGAGATCCTTCCCCACAGATATTTGGTTATGAGAGGGGATGATGGATGGATGGATGGATGGATGGATAGATGGATGGATGGATGGATGGATGGAAGCCATGGGTCTGAGCAGTGAGGCACAAAGAAGATGGGGGTAGCATTTTGGGATGGGAACAATGAACTATACTGAAACAGAAATAAATATGGAGCCACAAATATTGGGGGTGCCTGCTTATTTTCCAGAGATGTTCCCCAAACCTCTGACCAGGGACACCTTCATGAATAAATACCACGAGGAAAGAGGAAATCTCCATTTTAAATGTGGGGATGAAACAGTCATGCCGAGTTCCCTGGCAGTTACCCACGCACTCCACACTCATGGAAACTGCAGTAATTTAGAGCAGTTCAGTATTTAGACTCAACTGTGTAACTCATCCTGATGTTTCTCATTCATCAAAGCCTTGTGTTTGTTTGTATTACCATGAGAAAAATAAAAATGTGGAAAAAAAGATCCCCCCTCCTTTCATTACAGGCAAATTACGACAGAGTTACAACTCTTGGGGCCCTTCAGGCAAAGGAACATCTTACTTCAATTACATATAAATAATGAACAATAATTAGAAAGATTTCCTCATCGAATTTGTTATTTTATGTTTCCTTTCATCTGTAATGTATTGCAACGAATACTAAATTCTGTTTCTAGGACAAGTAGCAGGGACCAAAGGGATGCTGCAGAGTGTGTCTTCGAAGGAGGAGGAAGCATCCACAGCTGGCCCTTCTGTGTGCTTGCTGTCAAGGCTGCTGTCAACCCTGAATCCAGGGCCACAGTTACAAAAATTGGACTGCTTCAGGTTCAGACCTCCAAATTCTTATGATCTACTAGGGACCCAGACACATAATCCAAGATCTGAATAATTTCTACTAGTTACCAAATACTTATTTTACATCAGGCACTGCTCTAAGAGCTGAACACAAATCATATTTAATCCTCATAGTAACTTGCCACAGCTCTGCTTTTGTCTCCATTTTAAAAAGATTTGGAAACTGAGGCACAGAGAAGTTACCTAACTTGCCTCGACCTGCAGCGTTAGAGATGCTGGGGCTGGGAGGCAAGGTAGGGAGCTGAACTTCAGAGTTGCTGCTTGTCCTCACTCTGGTATGATATCCCAATGAGGTCCTGTGCCATAGAAGCCACAACGTGGGAAGGCCAGATGTGAAGATGACTCCCCACAGAGAGAAATGGCAGCTGGATCTTCAAGGGGCTTGTAGAGGTGTATGGGTGGAGGAGTGAAGTAAAGGGATTCTAGGCAGAGAGAGCACCATGGTCTGGTGCCATAGATGTGGGATTTCTCATTTCAAGGTTGACCATGGTGTTGTGTGTGGGTAGGGACAACAGCTGGAGATGAGACCAGAAGATGGAGAATGTGTACATCCAGTTGAAAAGATTGGTTCTTTTTGTAAAAATGGTGACTCAGTGAGAGGAGGGATGATGATGCAAGCAGATAAAGAGGAGAGAATGAGATTTCCAGAAGTGAAATAAGGTAAAGAGTGATCATATTGGAATCTGGCAAGAGTCTAGCTCCTCACTGGGCTTTTATTGTTTTGCAGTTCTGTCTGGTACATAGTATCTCTCAACACACTGAGCCAGGTACTTCTCTTCTGGGACAAGTAAAACCTTTGTACCCATTGGTCCTTCTTGCTCTGACTATTCCTCCTTCCCCAAAGAAGTCTCCTCCTCTGCCTCCAGCAAACAAGTCTTCTCTCGAGTAAATTTATCTCCTGGTAAATTTCTTCTCCCCAACATGCACCTGGATGGAGCTTCCTGTCTCTCCTCCAAATACAACAAAGCAAAAGCTCTCAGAAGTGCTTTGTTTTGTCTTTATCATCTCTCTAATAATAATTGTCAACATTTATAAAACAGATCTCACATAAAAATCCAATTTTCTGAAAAACATTATTGGGGAGTTGGTGGGGGCCACTCAAAGTCAGTAATTGGCAGGAACCCCAGCAAAGCTGCAAGCTTTGTAGGGTTGCCTCTTAATTAACTCTGAATCATTTAGTCTCTGAGTGGATTTCTTCTCCATGTTAGATCTGAGTGTTAGGGGTCAGCCATCACACATCATGCCAGCAGAGTCTCTTTCCTGCCCAATTCCTACAGGTGTTTGAGATGGAGATCTTCAGCATACAGCCCCTCATGATACCCTGACTTTGATATTGTTATTTTTTGCCTATATATCTGTTTCTGCAGATGGATTACAAGCTCTCCTAGGGCAGGAATCATGTCTTATTCATCCTTACATCCCTCTAGTTTAGCCCAACCTGGTTTGGGGCTCATAATGTCATTGAATTCATCTATGCAGAGGAAATATACCTGTGGTAGAATGAAGCCCTAGCAAGGCCTACTCCCGGCTGAGGGACTCATGCTGTTGGATGTTGGGAGTAAAGAATGTGGATCATGGGCCACATCAGTCTCAGAATTCAGAACGCCTTGCAGCCCATTTGTGTCCCTGCAGTTTGTGGTATACAGCATGCACCCATACCTTGCTGCCTTTCTACATTTCAGGACATTCCAGGACCTGTCCAAACAAGTGGAGATGTCTTATGGCACCGTCCGGGATTCTGCTGTATATGAATACTTCCGAGCCAAGGGCACCAACCCCCTGGAGCAGGACAGCACATTTTCTGAGCTCTGGAGGACCATCAGCAAGAATGGAGGGGCTGACAACTGCGTGTCCAGTCCTTCAGAAGGCATCAGGAAGGTAGGCAGAAGCTAGCGCTGGGGCACGGGTCCCATGACAGGGCCATGAAGTGGTCATTCCCCCAGGGGAGAAACACCTCTTCAAATGTATCTGTCGCCTGCAGGGTAATCCGTATTCACACATTGTTTAGGTGATACACGTTCTGAGCAGCAGAAGCAGAGGAGCTGCTCATTAGGTAACTTCTGAGTTTCCAGAGAGGTGCTGACTGGAAAAGAGCAGGCAGATTGAGCCTAAGCCTTGGACTCCCTTCCTCATGGGCTTATGGATTGGTTACACAGAGGGTCCTGTCCACCCAGGTGAAAACATATGGCAAAAACAGAAGAGGAGTAACAGGTGAGAGGTGGAGGAGTGAGAGGTGCTTGGGAGACGGTGAGCACACTGTGACTGTCCTGGGGACGGGTGAGGAAGTCCATATACAAGGGCAAGGGTCCACCAAGTGGGCTGAGTAGGTTTTGGGGGCTGTGCTGTAGAGAAGGGGTGTGTTTTAGAAGTGGTGGTAAGGACAGCAAGCCCGGCACAGAGCCTGTACTGGACAAAACCTCGATAGAACAGGTGGAAAGAAGCCAGGGCCAGAGGTAGGAAAGGAGGAGTAAAACCATGACACTCTTCAGCAATGTGTTAGACCTTGCTCATTTATTTCAGTTAATTTCACAGTGACCTGAATTAAGCATTGCTATCCCATTATACCGATGAAGATCTGTCATACTACTTATTAGATTCAAACTCCTTGATTCCTTGGGTGCCAGGCTGAGGATTTGCCACTTATCCACCATGTGCTGCTGTAGAGCTCTTGAATGTCAATGAGGTGGAATATGGTGGGATGAAGGCAAATGTCATGATACTGCTGCTGCTGTACTGGGGTCTTTCTATCCAGTGACCCCCACATGTGGTGGAGGCTACTGTTCCTGAGGTCATTAGTGATTGGTGTGAGAGAGATGTGCAGCCCCATGGCCAGCACTGCTGCCTGTCTGCTACTCACCTATTCCAGTGTCCACTCCCATCCATTCCCTACTCCACCTAGCTTCTGCAACCACTTCTGTGGAACCTTCTCACACACACACTCATACCCATACTCACACACACACTCACATACACTCTGACACACAGTCACACAAACACACACACACACACACACACACACACACTCACACTCCTGTGCTCCCCCCCCCCAGATACTTGGTAACTGCCTGCACTTCCTGCAGAGAAGAATGGATGCAGGACAACCTGGGGCAAGCTTTGGGGCTACCAAAGCCCACTTTCCTGCTCTTCAAGGTGAGAAGGGTCCTCAGCAATCTACTAGCATCTCCCAGGAGTGCCCCAGATATTAAAAGAGAGAAGCATGAATCCCTCTTTGCTCCAGAAGCACATGGGTGCAGAGCGTGGTCTCTGTCCTGTGGAGTACAGGGGAGCCCTGGCTGCTTTGCCTTGTGGAATGAGTACCTGCTAGGAACATGATCTGTCAGAGTTATTGACTTGGGATGCCTTTTCCTTGCCACTTAGCCACAATGAATAGCAGAAAGTATTTAAACTCTGGAGCCTGGCACATTTGAGTGTGAATCCCAGTTCCACAACTGACCTATGGTGTAAAATGGAGCACAGCACTCTTTCTGTCTGGAACCTTTCGGAGCTGAGAAGGACCTGGGCAGTTTCCTGTTTGGGGTCTCCTTAGAGGCTTAAAATGTCCAAAAATACACTTTATGGTAGATTTTGAATGTCTACATGTAACCAAGTGATATTTTAATTAAAATAGTAGAATGCAATGGTACTGTGCTATTTTCATGCTTATAAGCTTTATTAAAACCTCTTAATTCTCAGTTCATTGCAAAGGATGGTGCTCTAGCCTTGAGCTGCAGGGTCTTCTGTCATTCCTGACAGCGAATCTTTGTGACTGTAGGTGACCTCATTTGGAGATAATGAATACAAGGTTGATTTAAGGCCTTTTGTGATTGTGAGACCTGGGCCAAATGGTCTTTGAGTTCTCTCTCCCTGCTTTCTTTGACCCACAGAGAGAGCCAATACTCCCATTCACAGAGGGTCTTATAAAGAGTTATTGCAACAATGCTACAAAAAAGCACTGCTTAAAAAAAGAAAAGATAGCTACTGTTGACTTTATTAAAAGTCTACTCATTATAAGACACTTTAAAGAAAATAAAAAGGTAAGTCACACATTGGGAGGGGATATTTATGTCCCATACAACCAATGTAGGATTACTATTAGGAATATATCATTAACTTTTACAAGTCAAAAAGAGAAACTCAAGCAATTTAAGAGAAAAATGGGCAAAAGACTTGCACAGGTCTTTCATAGAAGAGGCAACACAAATGACCAATAATCATATGAAGAGATATTCAAAGATAATAGTGATCTGTGAAATGCAAATCAAGACCATAAAGATATGTCATTTTACACCAATTAGATTGGCACAAAATGATAGGTGGCTGAGAGGATGTGGAGTAACAGGTGGTTAATTGTTGGTGGGAGTGCACTCAGTATAATCTCTTTGGAAACGAGTTTATCATTCTTTAATAAAATGGGACATTCATGTACCCTAAGGCCCAGCAATTCCACTCCAGTGTGTCCACCCAAAATAAATGCCTGCATTTTGGACATAAAAAAGACCATGGTAGCGTTGCTTATAGAAATAGAACCCTGGAAAAAATACAAATGACCATTAACTGTGTAAAAAAATATAATATCTGCAATGAAATGGATGAACTACTTATTCATCCAAGAGTATGGATAGATCTTAGCAGAATAATATCTAGTAAAAAAACCATTAAAGTCAATTTCATATGGATCAGCTGACAGAAAACAACGTAGACCATTATGGCTTTTTAAAAATGTATAAAACATATGCATGCACACACCCAGAGTAATGATAAACACAAGGTTCACCACGGCAGTTACGGCAATGGGAGAGGCAGAGCAACAGGAAGGACTGAAGCACATTATTGGATGTAAGTAAGGGTCGGTGTTAGGTTTAGATTAGCATTTTTAATTGAATTTCTTATTATAATAAATAAGTTAAGTTTTAAAAAGGGCCATGCCTGGAGCAAGGGATGAGTGTCCTAAAGCAAGGGTTGTGATTAATTTCATTCTGTTCATCAGCCGATTCTTCCAAATACATAAAAGTCCAGTCAAAGCCAGGCAGGCTTGGGCTCCTCCCAGGTCCCAGCCACTTCACTCCTTGCAAGATCCTTGTGCCTGCTTATCCTTTGTACCTGTTGTGTCTCAGAAAGGCAAATACACCCCATCAAAGGTGGAGTGTGGGAAATCTGGAGACGGGTTGTCAGAGAAACACCTCCTCATCATCCTACTTACCTCTTGTCCATTGGTAGCACATATGATATTTAGGGTCTCACTCATGAATAAAACAATTTAAAAAAGTGGTGACAGTTGCAAATAAATGTTTCCTTAAATCGACGCCTGTCTATTTATGATGCAGAATCTAATCTTTTTTTTTTTTTAAGTACATAGTATGTGTTACTTTTATGACGCTTTCATTTTATGAACCCCAATCTGGCTTTGGGATCACAGATCTCTTTCTTGCATTTGGATCTCTAAGAAAACAACAACAACAACAACAACAAAAACAAACAACAACAACAAAAAACTGACTGCCAGCCCTAGACAAATGTTAAGGGTTTTATAACTAGTGTCATAAAAGTGAGTTTATAGTATTGTCAGAAAATGAAGTGCACTGCATTTTTTACTGGAAGAAAAAGCTCACATTCACTCTCAAATACTCCTACTTCCTGTGCCTGTTTGGATGGCTACTGGACCTAAATGCTGGTCTGAAATTCTTTACACCTCTCGTACTATTATGGACCTATCCCTCCCATCCACACCGTGCCCCCAGGCTATGAGTGCAGTAACTTTGTGAATCCTGAACCCACAGCAGACCAGGCTGGATATAGCCATCCCTAAGTGAGGACTAAAGATTTGACTCCAAAAACGTTAGGAAAAATCTGTGTAGTGCAGGCAGTCTGGCAAAGATATAGAGATGCCCACACTGGGACTTCTGGATATTTTTTAGCAATGACTGGACAATCACACTGCTAATTTTCAGTTGATCTTTGGTGATTTTGGCTCCTTTTTCAGAGAGTGCTCTGTAGTGGAGCAATGTCTAATTGCTGCAAAAGTCAAGGAGCTTGGTGTGGAGGGTAACCCTGGAGAGCTGCTGTTATTTTTTACTTGGGAGTGCTAAGGCATTTAATGACTTGAAACCAATTTAGGTGGGGAATTGCTTAGTAAGAGTGATCACTTTTCTGCAGTGTCAGAACCGGAGAAGATTTATGTTGTGGTTGCCCCACTTCTGGAATCCACTCTGTCATGCCAGTGGCCACCTAGATAAGGATAAGGGCAGAACCTGCAGGTCCTGGTGAAGAGAATATGAAAAAACTTGGAAGGGGAGGGAATTTTCATTAATTAGAAGACTACAGCAAACAATTTTTACAACAAACCTATCTGACACCTAATAAGTCTCAATAGATACAGCATATTCTGAATAAGTCATCTGTTTGCTCTCTGAACAGAGAGAACATGGATCCCGTAATCAGCTACCATACCCTCTTTCGATTCCATGATGGGAAAGACAAGAGAAATAGTTCTGGAATTTTCATCAGGTTTGTGTTTTGATAACCTCTTAGGGAGGAGATCCTCCTGATCCTGAAAGATGTGTCACAAAGAGAGGAGAGAGGCTATGTTCATTCCTCTGAGCCACATGCACATATCAGGCCTAAGGAAAAACTAGTCCAACCTCTGGCAAACTCTGTCTCATGGTCAAATCTGGCCCATAGTTTGTTATTTATTTTTTATTTTTTTGTGCATAAAGTTTCATTGGAAAACAGCCCATTTATTTACATATGATTTATGGCTTCTTTCTTGCTACTTCAACAGAGTTGAATAGTTGTGACAAAGACCATACAAATAGCTGTGGCAAAGTCTAAAATATTTATCATCTGGTCCTTGACAGGAAAAGGGTTGAAGACTCTTGGTC